CAGCGCTTTCGGACTCCCATCTTTAATGGCCCCTCCCTCGGCGGCACTTCGCTGTGGTTTCGGAAAACTGTAAGCTGCGGTGGCCCAAATTTGAATTTCATGTTTGAGGAATAGATCGCCAAACATGGAAAGTAAACAGTTCTAATTTAGTGCCGGGTAGGAACACACTCTGCACTCAGAAGATCCCGACGGCACCGGCTAATTTAGGATTTGGAGCTAATCGGGTTTGGAGAAGTGAACCTCATCAAGGACTTTGCCGATTTAAAGCCCCTTCTCTGCTATGTGACTGCAATCCAAAGGACTGTATAGCATATTCTGATTCTGCCATTTTGTTTAGCGGAAATATGAGTTATGAAATACACAGTCAATATACTGTAGTTGGATTATTTACAGCAGGAGTGTCCAATCTTATCCGCAAAGGGCCGGTGTGTATGCAGATTTTTGGGATAACCTGTAGGTCAGCTGTTCAAACCCAGGTGTGAGGACTCTTCAGCCAATCAGTCCTCTAATTAGTAATCTAATTAGGGAGTTGCAGTGAAAACCCGCCAACACACCAGCCCTTTGCGGAAAAGATTAGCCACCCCTGGCTTAAATGGTCACAAATCATCTGCAGACCGATTTTCTTGGACATTTCAACACACCGGCCCTTTGCGGATAAGATTGGACACCCCTGATTTACAGTGACTCAGTTTTATGAGTCCATTTTGCAGTAAAAGCAATACAAATTCTTGTTGCCTTGCGTTTTCCAATCTTGTTTCAGTAAATCCAACAGTTGTGTTTCATTTTACTAAAAAGAGAATTGTTTACAAGCTGTGAAGAGGAAAATTGAGCATTGTACATAATTGTAGATAGATTTTCCTGGGGAGATGCAATTTCGGCTTTCGGTATAAAAATGATGAAAGCTGAACTTAATTTTTGGTTCAGAATGAGGTAGATTTAAGCTAATATACAACTGAATTGACAAAACACACAAAAATTCCATAAAAATAAGAATGTAGAGAATATGGTCTTGCTTGTTAGATGGGGCCATTTTATACTAATTAATGTATTGGAGATTCTCCATTCTGGTTTTGATTGTTGTAATGGTATTAAAGTCCTTTTATTTGGTAGAGGCAGTGCGAGTTCATTACACCGTTCACCAGTGGCACCTGGAAAGCGCCATCGCCCAGTTTTACCTCATTTTGGGCAGGACCTGCTCTCCAGTCCACCTTGTGTTGGGTGTGTAGTCGGCTCCCCCTCAGAAGATGGCGCCTCAATGGACCCCCCCCCGTGTCACCAACTGGGTTGACCAACCCTGTCTGACTTGCCCACTATGACCTACTGTGGGTTAAACATTAATTCCACAAAGTGCTAAGACCTGTCTTTTCCTCACACTGCGACGTGAATGTACAGGACTGTGACACTATTGCGCCTAATTCCTGTGTTTACTTGGTCTTACTTGGAAACATGAGTGGAAACTGGTCACTCTCTGTGAGCATGAGTCATTTTATACTTCAGACACTGGGTTAAACCTGCTTAAGCAGTTTTTTCTCAGGGCCAGCGGTAGTAACAAATCAATCTGCTGCATCTCTTCTAGGCTGGATTCATTCCTGTTGTTCGTTGGTGCCAACTTACAGCTTTGCCACAAGGGTAGGACACAGGCACTAGATAGGTGTTTATTGCAAAAAAAAACAATAATACAGCACCAGTTGGGTCCATGTCCCCTTTAAATTTAAATTTAAACTCCGATGAGTGAAAAGCGATCAAAACCCCCAAAACTCAGACGTGCCAAAGGAGCCACTGACGTTCAAACCGCTGTGACCACAACACACCTCATAAGGCGGCGCTTCCCTTAAACTCACCCGGCTGACCCTGTTTAAACCATAATAAGGCAATTAGACTACATAGGGCCAGCTGGGTTTCATTATGTGCGGAATCTGTAGCAGGAGGCTAGTGAACGATCACCATGGTAATGCGAGAGATCACCCAAATACAGAGCGGTGACCTCGCTCAGCCCCTTGCTCACTCTAAATTTGTTGTTTTTATTTATGTATTTGTTTTGCTGTATCGGGCCCTCGGACTGCACCTCATACAATACCTGCACCTTAACACTGATTCATTCTTTCAGTTTCTTTTTGTGTGGGTTGAAATTTTTAAACACTGTCAGACTTAACCGAGAAAACTGGTATTGTTGGTCATCTCCCATTTGATCGTTTTTTTTTGTTCCTGTATTTAAAATAAATAATTACATTTTTATAAATGCGTCCTGCTATTGTCATGTGGTGGGTGTGGCGGCCAGTTACATTTGTAATTAATTCTCACTGATATATTAACATTGCTTGGATACTTCAGAGGTGAGTGAAGTCTTCCTCATCTCTGTGAATGTGGTCGGCTTAATGTCAAACCTGTGAGTGAGGGGTCACATTACTCGAATACGGAAAGGTTGTCACGTTATGCTACGTGCTATGCACGTTAGTACATATCGGCACATTTTGCAGATGGGGCTGAACTTTGACCTACTCTGCTCTGTGCATTAAACAGCTAGAAACCACTCAGACAGTTTTGGCAAATATGAGGATTTTTTGAGCGACTGGAACTGAACTTTCCAGTTTTTTTAGCCCAAGTTGTATTTGAGTGAAAAGGAAAAGGCTAATATGGGCTCATCCATTTATGCATTTATATGTCTTGATTACATATACTTCAAAAAAGAATTACGTGAAAACAGTTAACTGAGTTGGTTAACCTAGATAGGCTGAGCTCAGTACTTTTTAAACGTGGTCACAGGAATGGATCTGGTGTTTTTTGCCTGTCCTCGTCTCTGTGAGTACCCAAAGGGGGCTTCATGTTTTCCAGATTGTCTCATGGTTTGCAGCACTTGTGTAGTTTAATTATGACATTTGTGTTCCACATTACATGATTTCAGATTGTTTCCAAGATTTAAAAAACAAATATTCGTAGGGAAGCTGTAACATATCAAAATGTACAAGAGCTCTACTTTATTCTAGCTTTAACTTAGGAGAGCTGTTTCTCTTGTAGCTGTACACAACAGAAGGCAAACTGAACAGGTCCAACAGATATCCAAATAACCCTACAGATAGTAAGCTTTCTTTCTGTGGGATGCAGATTGTGGCTCAAGTGGGTTAGTCCTCTGTACCTGTGACTGGAAGGTTGCTGGTTTAAGTCTCGTGCTTGGTAGAAGAGTGGCATCACTGCTGGTCCCTTGAGCAAGGTCCTTAACCTTTGGGGCAATGGATAAATGACTGATTCTGCACTGAAATCTCAATCTCCACTCTCACCTACATATGTGTATGTGTCTTAAAAGGGAAGCAAGATAGGATATGCAAAACTAAGGAATTCCAATATGTCTATATTTGTTCAATTGTATTATAATGCAAGTTTCCTTTTATTGTATGCACAGAACCTGTATGGTCCAGCATATGCAGCCTTTTCTTCTTGAGAAACGTATGCATTTTTGTTTCCCTTCTGGCACGACATTCCCAAGAATGAAGGTGTCTCTATGGGTTAATTCAAAATTATTTTGGGTGTATTGAATAAAGCCTTTTGCCTAGCAGCCCGTCTGTTCTTCATTCTGGATTATACTTGGCAGATCTAGCCCATTCCAGTTTCTGCATTTAATTTTAGCACGCTTAACCACATTTTAAGGGTATTGTAATCACTTTGAAGCGCAAATATAATATGCATAGCATTGCTGTTGCCTTAAATTTGACATATTTTACATATTAGAGCGAATTATGATTTATAGTATGAGGGTTCCAACAGTGTGGTTCAAAGGTGCCCTGAACAGTCATGTATCTACTTTTCTTGAGAAACTGGCCACCCACAGTGGGACTGTGAGGTCCTTGATTTTGTCCAAGTTTGGTTTCCACTTGCCACTTCAGTGAAGGTGTCAGGGTTGAGGGGGAGAGTTCAGAAGTGGTTGGAGATAAAGATGGGGGGGTGTTGGATAGTGGAAGAGGGAAGGCTCCTTGATCAAAGGTGCAGCTGTTCCTTGCGTGTGAGATAAAACTTGTAGGGGATTTGAAGGGAGAGGTTTGATGCACTGGGCATTAGGGCGAAGCGGGTATACTGCAGCTCTTCCTCCAGCTGGATGCTTGAAGCCCTCATATCTGATGGGCTGTGCGCCATCCTCTGTGAAAGAACTTGAGGAAGTTCCTGTGAGGGCCTTGTGGACAATGGAGAACAATGTTGAAGAGTCTAGCCAGCTGAGTGATAGCATCAATTGAGAGTGGAAAGTCCATAAAAAGCTGAGAAATTCTCTGTGATGGAGTCATTGATGTCAATAGGTATTATAAAGATGTATGGCTATTTCAAAATATGGTATTTTAAGATATTTTTGTTCATAAGCAATTAACATTCTTCAGTTCGGTTTGGATTTGCCACCTGATTTCTAGAGTCATTAATGTTGTGCACTGCCTAAGCAGTTTGAAAAGGGATAGATGGATGGGGGAGGGGGGCACTTGAAGCATGGCTCTATTACTTTATCCAGCTGCATATCTTTTACAGCAGGGAAATTCAGCACAGCAGTTACTTTGCTGCTTCTGAGTCCATGTTGCTGAACATTATGCTAATTGCTAACAAGTCCTAATTTTTGTTTGTCTGACACTTGTATTAAGAGGGATCTGCGTTATTAATTTACTTTACTGATAGTTAATGTAGACGCTTTACCATAGCTTATTGCATTAGCCCTGGGGTCTCCAGTTCCAGTCCTGAAGAGTTGCTGTCCGGCAGGTTTTCTATCCTACCTGGTTTCTGATGAGCCGCACCTGTTCCTGGTATTTACCTGAGAGCAGGTGTGGCTCATCAGAAGCCAGGTAGGATAGAAAACCTGCCGGACAGCAGCTCCCCAGGACCAGAGTTGGAGACCCCTGCATTAGCCCCTCCTATTTCACTGAATTTCAAGGTTAGAAACCAGGAGTGACAGATGCAGCCTGCCGCTCTTGAAAACGGGTCTCAGAACCCAGTATGGCATCTGCCAAGCCCAGCTCCTTTTCTCCCCACAGTGATGGAGGCCACGACGGTGAGCACCTCAGCTGCCGGCTCGGAGGAGTCAGACAGAAACGTGCCACGGATATGTGGCGTCTGTGGGGACAAGGCCACCGGCTTCCACTTCAACGCGATGACCTGCGAGGGCTGCAAGGGCTTCTTCAGGTGAGCTAAGGCGTCTGCAGCAGAGGCAGGTCAGACCTGTGCCTCCTTAATATTTGGAAACGGTGTGCAGTGGATGTACAAAGTCTGATTAAAGTCTTACTGTCCCCTTACCGAAGTTTGCAGGTGTTTGTGATGTAAAACCAGAAAGCAAGATGAGAAATGTCAGGCATTTTTATATCTCTAGTGAGACCTTGCAAACAACAAAATACATGACAAATATTACTAGATCATTTCTAGGACAAATAATTGAATTTAAAACATCCTGGTAGCATATGTGACCCCCACCCCCCCCCAGCTAACGTGGAAGCACCTTTTGAATGTATAACAGTAGTAATTTTTTCTGAATGTTTCTATCAACTTTGCACACCTTGACTTCTCAATTTCATCCCACTCTTCCTTGAAAAAAGAATTGTGCAGGCTTCTTCAGATTATCAGGGGATCTCCAGTTCACAGCGTCTTTAAGTCATTCCACAGGTCTTCTCCGGGATTGAGGTTTGGGCTCTGACTGAACAAATCCATGCTTTTGATCTTCCTTTGCTGAAGCCATTCCTTGGTTGACTTGGATGCATGCTTTGGGTCATTATCTTGTCAGAAGGTGAAATTTCTCTTCATCTTCAGCTTTTTGACAGAGGCCAGAAATATCTTGACATTTGGAGCTAGACATTATCCCACTCGTCTTCACTAGAGCCCCTTTCCCAGCTGAAGAGAAGGAGCCCCAAAGCATGATGGTACCACCACCATACTTCACAGTAGGTATGGTGTTCTTTGGATGATGAGATGTGTTGTCTTTGTGCCAAACGTATCTCTTAGAGATACGGTTAGAAAATTCAGCCACACTCTTTGCTCTTGAATTTAATGTAAAATAAAGTTGTCCTCCGAAGAGGGGGGGTGGTGGTGGGCAATTAAAAAAAAAAAAAGAAAGAAAGAAAATTCAGCCTTGTGTCTCATTTTCCCAAATGGTTTGGTGTGATTGATTATATTTTTGCAAGATTTATACAGCACTGGATGTTTTTCCACCCTACCCCACAGGACAGACATATACAGAGTATTGGAGATTATTAGTACCTGAGAGAAGTTCCTTCAGCTCCCTTAATGTTGGTGAGGGCTTCTTGGTAGCCTCCCAGATAAGTTTTCTGCATGTCTCATCATCATTTGTGGAAGGTTGTTCTTATCTTGGCAATGCCCGGTGGCGCCACAGTTTCCACACTTATTGATGATAGTTCTCACAGCGTTCCACACTCACATCCAGTGCCTTTCATAAGTGTTGTATATTCCTCTCTTGATTGGTAGACTTTGACTATAATACCCCATAGATGTTTTGTCAGGTCATTGGAGACTACGGTCCTCCCATTTGGATGCAATCATGAAAATACAGGACAGACATCACATGGTTTGATTGTTACTTCTGAATACTGCTACAGCCCCTCTGATTTACAGGCTCTCTGATTTACAAAGATGGAAAAATGTCTTGATTTAAAGTCACAAAACCTGCAATTTCAAAAAGGATATGTAGGCTTTTCATATGCAGTGTTGCCACAAAATGAGATATTTTGGATTCCATGTCATGGCCATGACTTCTTTTTATAGTCGCATACACATCAACCATAACTTTAAAACCAGCTCGGATCAGGTTGGGGAGTATGTGCTGATGCAGCACGTTACCGGACCCACCACACGGTGGAACTCCTCAGGATCTCTGCTGGCGACCTCCCCAGGCAGACACACAGTTCAGTCCCACCCTCCGGAAATGAACCATCCACCTGCCGCAGCCAGGCATTACGTGGGCGTCCCCTCGGCCTGGTCCGGCCGTTTGGGTCCTCGGCAATGAGGATCTTGCGAGTCGGATCACTCTCAGGGAATCGCTCCACATGGCCGTAGTGCCGTAACTGACACTCCCTCACAATGCAGGTAATGTGCCTCATTTTGGACTCCTCTAGCAACTGCTCATTCGACACAATCAAACCAGTGGTATCCAAGGGTTCTCCAAAGAGACACAGTACCGAAGGAGTCCAGTCTTCGTCTCAGTTCCATGGATAGCGTCCATGTCACAGCCATACAGCAAAACAGGGAGCAACAGGACTCTGAAGACTTGGACCTTTTGTTGCTTGCAAAGATATTGGGAGCACCACATACCCCTTTCCAGCGACCTCATCCCACCATGCTCTTCCAATCCGTCTGCTGACATCATAGGAAGAGTCACAAGAGACATGAATGTCGCTGCCGAGGTAAGTGAATCTCTCGATGAGGTCGTCATTCTCCCTGCAGGCAGGCATACTACCCATGGCTGTGCCTAAGAAGTTATCAAAGGCCTGGATCTTGGTTTTTATCCAAGATACTCACAATCCCAGACACTCAGACTCCTCAATCAGTCTCTCGAGAGCCCCGATCAGAGCCTGCATTGACTCTGCAAAGATTATGGCATTGTTGGTGAAGTCAAGATCAGTAAGTCTTTCTTCACCAACAGATGCTCCACAACCGCTGGAGCTCACACCCATGCCCAACACCCAGTCCATGCAAGCATTGAACAGAGCAGGAGCAAGAACACACCCCTGGCAAACCCCAGAATCAACCTCCTCTCTGCACAGCACTCGCAGTACCAGTGTACAGGCCGGCCATGATGTCCAGCAACTTTGGGGAGATCCCGTGAAGTGTCAGGATGTCCCACAGGGCAACTCGATCAACTGTGTCAAACGCTTTACGAATATTGGCAAAGATTGCAAAGAACCTCTGCCAATATTCACACTTGCACTCGATGAGAACCCTCAGTGCCAGGATATGGTCGATGGTAGACGTCTTAGGTGAAACCAGACTGCTCCGGTCGCTGGTAGGCGAACAAGTGATCATTAATCCTATTAAGGGTGACCCTAGCAAGGACCTTACCTGGCACTGAGAGCAGTGTTATCCCCCTGTAGTTGCTGCAATCCAGGCAACCACCCTTCCCTTTCCAGATAGGGACTACAAGTCCCATTTTCCAGTCAGATGACGCTTCCAGCAAAGATGGAAGCAAAGATCGCCCATAATGCTAGGAGGACAGCCTTACCACCAGCCTGAAGACGTTTATTCTGGATACCATAGATCCCTGCGGCCTTCCCTACCCCCAGCTGATTCACCACCCATGCAATCTGAGGAAGACTGGGTGGTTCACAGCTGATTGGAGGATCAGCCTCAAGAACCTTGGACCCAGAGATGCTCTATATTTCCATTCTAATGCTCATTTGCCCATTGTAGGCATTTCCAGCGGGGGACAGGAGTCAGCATAAGTACTGACTGGTCTGAGGCTACACAGCTCCATACGCTGAAGCACCATTAACTTTTTCAGTACTTTGTGCTGCAGTATCTGTCCAGTGGGATCAGACCAGACAGGCTAGCCTTCGCTCCAGTGAGCCTCAGGCACCCATGACTCCATTGCTGGTTCACCAGTTGTCAAAATTGGTCAGATTCTTACTCTTACGTTTTTCCTGCTTCCAACACATCAAATTCAAGAGCTGACTGTTCACTTGGCTAATATATTATGGTACCCTTGAAACCACCTGTCCGTGGTTTTAATGTTATGTGTTATGTGTAGAATTGAATTTGTGTCAATTCTAAAATAGGTTTTAGAGTAAACTTTTACTTTAGCTCACTGCTGACTTTCCTCTGTAATAGCCTGTGTCACACTTCTCTTCTGTCCCTTTCTTCTCTGGTGACAGGTTAACTGGGAGGAGGGTGGGCATGTTGGGGCATGTGTGAAGTGGCTTTAGGGTTTGGTCCTGATAACAGAGCGGAAGATGCTGTCGATGGCCATGCCGTCAGCCGGCGTCTGCTTCCTGTTCACGTCCCTCCCGTCTGGCTGTCTCTGCCCACCGCAGGCGCAGCATGAAACGCAAGGCGAACTTCACGTGTCCCTTCAGCGGCAGCTGCAAAATCACCAAAGACAACCGGCGGCACTGCCAGGCCTGCCGGCTGAAGCGCTGCGTGGACATTGGCATGATGAAGGAATGTGAGTGACACGGCCTGGCGCCACGGGTACATGAGTGCCGGGCACATTACTGGGCAGCCATACTTTTAAAAAGTGACTGAAACAGAAGGATGTGGCGCAGTGCGGCTCTGCCTGCGATCGGAGGATTTCCAGTTCAAATCCTGTGGCTGGCAGAATGATGTCATTGTTGGGCCCTTGAGCAAAGTCGTTATCCTCGTTTGGCCCAGAGAGTGGCTGACCAGGTCTGCTCTATGATTCTTATTTTACGTCACTTTGGACAAAAGCGTTTGCTAAATAAATAAACAAACATACCTCTTAAATGGATAAAGACAGAAAAGATTAGAGAAGCACTAAATACTTATATGATGAATGAATAATAACCTTAACTAATTATATTGCAACTAATAATTATAACTAATAATACTATAGATGTGTAATATACTATAATATATACTAAACAATATAAAGTACAATAAAAATATCACTATTATACAGAAATGTGAAAATGTTAAAAGAACAGCTAAAAACTATGATAGAAATGCAAAAATTTGAGCATTTGTAAATGTCTTATTGGAATTTTGAGTAGTGCCATCCATCCAATTTCGATACCCGCTTGTCTTATGTAGGGTTGTGGGGGTCCAGAGCTTTTCGAAGAAGCTTTGGGCACAAGGGAGGGAATTTTTAGAAATGCTCTTAAAAAAACTTTTAAAATGAACACCTAGTAAATATCAGTGATTTTGCAAGTACATTATCGGTTTATACTTATTCTATTGAGTGATTATTTTTGTATACTGTCTATGTTTCTCACTTTACTAGCACGATGTTTGGGCCCTTCCCCGTTCACCGTGTCAGTGTTTGACTCACGTTCATTCCAGCCAGCCCTGGCTTTTGCCTGCTGATGCATTCAGTGGCTTCAGGTTGCTGGCCCCCGGCTTTGTCTGCGCCCACCATTAACAGCCATCCCCTCTCTGAATATGTGAGAAGAGTGAGGAAAACTCCACTGGCCAAGTTTCTCAGACAACAGCGATGCAAAGTGGAGAACGTTCTTCAAAGGGCTGTGAACTGTGGCAGTTTGCTGGGGTCCTCACTACACCTCCAGTCTGTATTTGGCAGGTGTTTGTGTCTTTGCTGTATGAGAAACCATCTGCAGTTCCGGCATTAAAAGTGTCCTCAACCTCCTGTGATTTTCAAAGGGGATTCCATTCCCTCTGTGATGGAAATCCTTCACATTTACCTGATCCTATTAACTTTATATCTGTCTGTCTGTCTGTCTGTCTGTCATTGCATACACAGTGGAAAATTAACATAGTCCTTTTTCTTTTTCTAAAGATCTGAGTGTGCACATTATTAGGATTTCAATCTACACTGGAAGTTAAAATGTATTGTTGGAAAGTAAAATGTATGCATTTCCAGTGTAGCAAAACATTTAGCACAAGTGCTCTGAGGAGGGTGTTTTCTCTGCTGCCCAACCGGACGACGTCCCTGAAGCAGATGTGGTCCTTTGCATATAGCTGTCCTGCTAATCCAAGCCAGTGTGACCATTTCCTCTGTTCTCCCCTAGTCATCCTCACGGATGAGGAGGTACAGAGGAAGAAGGACCTGATTCAGAAGAGAAAGGCAGAGGAGGCGGAGAGGGAAGCCCAGAAGCCACGGCTAACGGAGGACCAGAGCAAGGTCATCGCAACACTGGTGGAGGCTCACCACAAGACCTACGACGACTCCTACTCAGACTTCTCCCGTTTCCGGGTTAGTGTTGTGGCTGCATAAGGAATGAACGTGTGTATAGGCCAGGTACAACAAAGCATGATTTTACTATTGTCTTATAGGCATGTATGAACATACACTGTATGTTGTATTAGGGTGACCAGATAATCTGTGTTTGGCTAAATAGTTTCCTGGTTTGTTTACTTGATTGAAAGACTCATCCAGCTGTTTCACATTACCATGAGTGACTCATGCATGATTATAGGAGACTAACTAATCAGCATACAGCAAGAACTCAATGCTTAAGTGAAATCCGGGTACTTTTGTTTGAAATGATAGTTTGCTAATCCAGTCCTAGCTCAAAGTGTCTTCCCTGACATGGATTATCTGGTGACTCTAGCACATGTATAGAATTGTGAGCAAACAGTGGTGCATTGGTTAGCATCGTTGACTCACACCTCTGGGACTAGGATTCAAGTCTCTGTCGTGGCTCCATGTGGGTAAAGTTTGCATGTTCTTCCCATTTTATCTTGAGGTTTCCTCTGGTTTCTCCCCATAGGCCAAAATATGCTGGAGTGAATTGGAGTCAAAATTGCCCGTAGGTGTGCATGTGTGAGTGAATGGTGTATGAATGTGCCCTTTGATGGTTTGGCACCCCATGAATTCTCAGTACATGGGACACTAAATTGCTTAATGTTTCAAGAGGAAAAAATTCTCAGAAATGATGACAGCATATGCCAAATATGGAGAAACTGCATGGGCTATGAGGAGATGTGGTGGGAAGATCAGGGACAGACTAGTAAATTACCCCAGGATTTAATCAGCATTTCTATGGCGATAAAAACCAGTCAGTTGCTCAGGAACCACTCCAAGGCCAGTGCACAAACAGGGTATCCTGGCGTTAGGAGCCAATGGGAAGAAATAATATGGTCTGATGAGTTGTCTTTGACACTTTTTCCTGCACCCAGACAGGTTTAGAATTGGAGAAAGTCAATGGATGCTGCCAACATACAACATACAGCATCCATTATCTGCTCCACCGACTATACGGACAAAAGTATTGGGACACCTGGCCTTTACACCTACAGGAACTTTTTATGACATCTCATTCTAAATACATAGGCATCAATATGGTCCCTCAATTGCAGCTATAACAGCTGCCACTTTACTGGGACGGCTTTCTAGAAGATTTTGGAGTGAGTCTGTGGGAATTTTTGCCCATTCATCCAAAAGAGCATTTGCGAGGTCAGGCACTGACATGGACATGAAGGCCTGGCTTGCAATCTCCATTCTAGTTCATCCCAAAGGTCTTCGGTGGGGATGAGGTCAGGGCTGTGTGTGGGCCAGTCGAGTTCTTCCACACCAAACTTACCCATCTAAGTCTTTATGGACTTTGCTTTATGCATTGGTTCACAGTCATGCTGGAACAGAAAAGGACCTTCCCCAAACTATATAATTTTGGATAAAATTGTCCAAAATGTCTTGGTTTGCTAAAGCATTAAGAGTTTCCTTTACTGGAACTAAGGAGCTTAGCCCAACCCCTGGAAAAAAACCAAAGCATTATCCCTTCTCCACCAAACTTTACAGTTGGCACAGTGCAGTCAGACAGGTAACGTTGTCTTGGCACCCGCCAAATCGACTCACCCGTCAGACTGCCAGACAGAGAAGCATGAATTGTCACTCCACAGAACATGTTTCCACTGCTCCAGAGTCCAGTGGCAACGTGCTTTACACCACTCCATACAATGCTCAGCATGGCACTTGGTGTTGTCAGGCTTGCATGCAGCTGCTTGCCCATAGAAGCCAATTCCTTGAAGCCCTCAGCTCACAGATTTTGTGCTGGAGTTAATGCCAGAGGAAGTTTGGAACTCTGCAGTTATTGAGTCACCCGAGCGTTGGCGACTTTTACACACTATGCGCCTCAGCACTCGGTGACCCGCTCTGTTACTTTACGTGTTCTGCCACTTCATGGTTGAATTTCTGTTGCTCCTCAACACTTCCACTTTGCGATACCACTTACAGTTGACCATGGAATATTTAACAGGGAAGAAATTTCACAAACTGACATATTGCAAAGGTGGTATCCTATGACAGCACCACGCTTTAATTCACTGGCTTTTCAAGAAGGACTGAAGCCGCCCTGAAGACGTAGCGTAGCCCTTCCACTTATTCGGTCCTTGATATTAATATATCGTTAAGTAGTTTCCTCTTACTTTGTCCAACCCTGTATTCATGTTTGTGTTTGTCTGTATATCTAGATGCAGATATTTATTATGTTTCTACGTAGTTAATAAGCCCATTAGATACAGCTGTATACAGATTGTGCTGCGTGTAATTAATTTTATTAATCAATCTTTAAAATAACTTCTTGCATTTTTTTCACTTTGTGTATGTGTTACATGTGTCTAAGTCATGTGATGAAGCACTTACCAGTTGTATCCTCGAGACGGCACCACAGTGAAGTTTGTCTCCATTCTGTTTTCCGACATGGCACGACAGCCCCCGGTGCGCCAGGGCCCCGTGACGCGCAGCGCCAGCCGTGCCGCCTCCCTCCAGTCGTTGTCCGACACCTCCTCTGACTCTGTCAATCATTCTCCAGGTGAGACTCCAGGCCTGGGTCTTGGAGACCACAAGGTTAACATCATGCTCTTGCAGAAGTACTGGATAAACAGAGTAACTAATTTCTGCCCCGTGCTGGAAGATGTACCATTAAACACTACATCTTCTAAGCATGACATTTGGTCATCCTGGTGCAAGACACCCTGACTATAAGCAAATGAGCCACAAAGTCATTTGGGTCTCTCTGATCGTGAGACACGGAAATGGCACTGAAAGTGTTCTCCGTTGTTCCTTATACAGTGACATTTTGTGAAAAAAAGTGCTGAATATTTCAGATGTGTCTGCTAGTCTTGCGCAAATCTCCTATTTTTAGTATGTAGATAACTGATTATGCAGCAGAAATAGTTACTTAAGTTAATTGCTTTTTGAGAAAACTAGTTGCATAACTGGTTGTCCTTACTTTTGCTTCCTGAAAATGTATTTTTATGTGTTTCTTATTTTTTTACACTGGATCGAGGCCCTCTATAAGTACGCCTGTAATTCATAAGGGTGTATAGTCAATTTACAGTGTGTTAGAAAAGGGGAGAGACTTTGAGTTATGGCTCACAATGACAGAATTCTCCATTTAATTCTCATTTTGTATGTGGTTTGGTTCACCTGCCTATAATATCTGGAGGATGGGAGTAAAGTTTTCCTTTTCCAGTGACCTGTGTCTTTTGGGTCTGTATGGCACCCAAAAGAGTTTGATGTTTTCTTACACCATACACTAATATGCAAAAAGTTTCTGAAGGTGAGAATTTAAAAGGACAAATTAATGCACTTGACCTTGCCAAAGGATCATCGAATGAAAACCTATATTGGGAAATATTGGGGTATGTTTGTTTTTGGACATGCTCCCTTGTTCACCTGACACAAATTTCCACTGGCTCATCCACTAAATTGTGGATTTGTCGGCCCTATTGTTCGCAATGCAGTGCACGACTGCAAACAGATAAATTCTTTGTCAAAGATGTCAGTCAACTAAGAGTTGACTGCTGATAAGCACTTTGGTCTAGTGGTAATTAGCAAGCATTCGAAAATGTTAGCGTACAAAGAGTGAATTAATTTAGCATCTCTATCAACTGCGCACAGAAACAATCAATAAACTTCAATTTTACAGATCATACAGCAGTACATGGCCAGTCAGATGCACATAGACAGTAGCTTACATACTGCTTTAAAAGGCTTAAAGTTGTCTATATAATAATTATTAGCTGTAATTATGCATAAGTAAGGTTGATTGCTATTATCATGAAGCATTGATCTGCAAGAATCTACAGCAATTTGGGCGGTTTTTTTTTCCCCGCCCTTTTTGCCATGGCGACTTCAGTCAGTCATTCGTCTCTCCCTTCAGTGTTCTCAAGTGTGTATAGACAGGCACACTTGAATCCTTAAACGCACTTTGGCCATTTTATAAAGTTGGCAACATTCGCCATGCTTATTATACCCGAACACTTAAAGAGCTCTAATGTGCTGTTGAAATATCTTCGCACTTGCCATATTTAAACGAAACGGGGGAAAAATCGATCTCTCGTCTCGGACATGGTGGACCGGGTGCACCCAGGCGTCAGCTGAAAGGGTTCCCTCCCCCTGTCCCAGAGTCCACGGACATGAAGCCAATGAACTTCACCAGCATGATGATGATGTACCAGGACCATAACAGCAGCCCTGAGTCCAACGAAGAAGGCGCCGGAGGTCTCTCCATGCTGCCGCACCTGGCTGACCTGGTCAGCTACAGCATCCAGAAGGTCATCGGTTTTGCCAAGATGATTCCAGGCTTCAGGTGTGAATCAGACCCTGGGCTTTGTGTTAGACTGTGTTGGCATGTCCACATTGTTATGCACCTTCAGCTGGAGTCAAGCATATCAACGGGTGGCACGGTGGCTCATTGCTCAGCACTGTAGTCTCACACCTGTAGGGTCAGGGTTCAGTTTCCACCAACAGCTCAATGTGTGGAGATGTTCTCCTTGTGATTGCATGGATTTCTTCCAGGTTCTCCAGCTCCCCCCTACAGTCCAGAAACATGTAGTTGAGTGTAATGGTGTCTCTAAAAAGGGTGTGGGAGTGACCCTGCAATGGACCGACATTCCTTAGAAGATGTTCCTGTACCGTTTTTCCTGGGAAAGGCCCCAGACTCACCACTATCCTCTACTGGAATAACTGTTATGGAAGACAGATGGATGATACAATATATTGATAGAATATGATACGTGAGACTAGGTCATTATGCATGTGTGCTGCTGTCCTTCAGTACGCCGGTTATTGATATCAGTGAGCCAGCCAGTCGGCTGCTCTCCATTGTCTGTGTGACAGTGGGAAACCATGAGCCCTCTCTACCGTTTGTTCTCATACCGCCGACGGATCGCTAGGAAAACAATAGTGTCTCTGATGTAAACACCTCTGGCTGGTATTAAACAAAGTCTAAGAGGTTATTTATCAATGATCCGAAGCTGCTTTTTGTAGTTGAAACATCATGTACGAAGGTAGCTGTACTTCATGCCTCCATAGCTGCCTGTAATAACTTGTCTTAAATTTAGTTTTTGAAGTTGTGTGGTGTGTCACTGTTTGGTCAGAAGAACCCTTTCATGGTTGTAAACTATGGTATCTTCACCCTCACAATGTACAGGGAGCTGACAGCAGAGGACCAAATCGCACTGCTGAAGTCCAGTGTGATCGAGGTCATCATGTTGCGCTCAAACCAGTCCTTCAACCTGGAGGACATGTCCTGGAGCTGTGGCAGTCCTGACTACAAGTACTGCATCAATGACGTCACTAAGGGTGAGAATCACAACGCAGAAACCTTTGGTATCCCTCATACTTACGACCCCCTTGATCAACTGCTTCATGGTTAGGTTCCTCTTTGTAAGATGCTTCTATTAACCTCCTTCATGGTTAAGTTCCTTTTATTAAGGTTCCTCATGGAATAACCTGCCTTATAATTGGGTTTCTCACATTTGGCTTGCAAACGTTCCATTTATTGATCTCATACTTAGTATCCTCTGGTTAACTTAAATTCCCTGTCTTAAATTCCTGTTATTCCAGCATGCTTAAGTACCTTTGATTCCCTCATGTTTAAGTTCTTAAAAATTCTTTAAAATTCCCTCCCTTGTGGCCTTAAACTCCACTTATTAACCTGTTCTGCATCAGTTTCTCATGTTAAGTTCCTCTGACTGAATAATCTCATGTTGAGGACTCTAACATTAAACTCCCTTAACCCTCTGGGGGGGGTCTAGGGGTAGGGGACACACTTTCACTGACTGGGGCATGATCCCACATTTCTTTCAATATCGTAAATTTAATTAATGGTAAATAAATTATTTCTTATATATTTGTTTTGGCATTACACTCATCTTAATTTTAATGTACATATGTCCGATTTATGTTAAGTTTGCAATCTGACATCAAAGTATAGACATTGCAAAATGCAGTTTGGAACACTTGCAGAAACATTATAAAAGTACATAATAAGCAACGGTGTCAGTTTGTTTTGATCCCAGATATCTGATAACCAAAGTCTTTGGTACCTGAAGATGACTAAATGGTGTAGTCGCAACATTCAGCAGATAAATAAAAAAGAAAAACCTAACTCATATTTAGGAGCTCTTATGTGTATGCATGAGCCATTCACACCTGGCCACATCCCCCCCCGCTGCTTTTATGGCGCTGATGGGGATGTATCTGGATTGCGTTTCACTGTTGCATTATTCATCAAATTATACCATGTGAATGCGATTTGAATACGCAGTAATGCGGCTATTTAGAATGCAAATAGCGATCTTCGGGCGAGAGCGGTACTGCACACCCCCGATGCAGGTAAAACAAAGAAAGGTGACATGGTTTACTTTTTTGCTGATTTAACCTAATTTTAAAAACTTTAATACTTCCGACGATGGACGTTTTGAAAAGAAAACAGATTATGGATTTAGTCAGCGTTTTTTCCATGATTCTACATGAAGATTTAAGCGAGTTATAAACTGAAATAGACATGAAAAATACGCTGCATTGCCAACGATGCGTTTGTTGCCAGAGGGTTAAGCGGCTGCATTCCTCAGGCTGCTTTGTTCTAACATCACTTTGATTCTTTTTGCCTCAGCTGGTCACACGCTGGAGCTGCTGGAACCTCTGGTCAAATTTCAGGTGGGACTGAAGAAACTGAACCTCCACGAGGAGGAGCACGTGCTGCTCATGGCGATCTGCCTCTTGTCTCCTGGTACGAACTTGGATCTGGGACACTACCATTTTCTAAACAGACAGGGAAGCTCTTTGTTTAGCTACTTTTTCTTCCCCTCGCTCGCAGACCGCCCGGGTGTCCAGGACCACGCCCGTGTGGAGACACTGCAGGACCGCCTCTCGGAGGTCTTGCAGGCCTACATCCGCATCAATCACCCCGGCGGGCAGCTGCTGTACGCCAAGATGATCCAGAAGCTGGCGGACCTGCGGAGCCTGAACGAGGAGCACTCCAAGCAGTACCGCTCGCTGTCCTTCCAGCCCGAGCACAGCATGCAGCTCACGCCACTCGTGCTGGAAGTGTTCGGCAGCGAGGCCTCCTAAGGTCACCCAGGTCACGTGATCGCGAATCGGTTGGGCTGCTGCTTGCGGTGTCGGGGGTGGGAGTAGGAGGCGACAGTAGGAATGGCTGCAGGGGATTGGGGGATAGTTTTATAAATAAAGGGAGATATAGAGTATTTATATTTAAGAAGAAGTTTCTATTCAAAGAAATGAGTAATCAGTCGTATTATCAGATAATGTATGTCCGTGTGGCTTTTGCAGCGCATTCTGCAGCTCCGCTAGCACGCATGCCGCAAACACGCTGTCATGAAGACGCTCACAGATACTGCTGCCTCTAGTGAAAGCTGCCTTCTGATTCACATGAGGACAAAGACATACTGTAACTATGACCACTTCGAAGCTAGCACATCAGGGTCTGATGGAGGGCGTGCTTTAGATTGGTGTCCCTGCTTTACGTTACATGTCATGGTTGCTATTTGGTGAATCCCACTGTAGTGTTTACACGTTGCTCAGATACTTTCCGGCACAGCCATGCAGCTGAAAAGTCTGTTGGAGCTCCATACTCTCCAAGCTTCTGCTGCTCTCCTGAGTTTACTCCTTGTTTGTTATATACCCTCAGATACTGCTTTTACTGGTTTTATACTGGTTTTTGATTCAAATGCCTTATCACACATTTCTACCTGCCTTACCACTGTACAACACAAATTGGAAGATGGATAAAATATTTTAAAGGGAGCTTGCAAGTAAGGATTTTCTCTGTTAATAGTTCTTTATACAGTTGTAATAATGCATTAGATGCCTTATGCTTAGTCTTAAGTAGCTAGTCATGATTAGCGTGTGTGATATTCAACCTATAGACCAAATGTAATTTCACTGATGGATTTTGTTACTATTTATCCACTAAAAAGTTTCATTCTTGTTAGCGTGCGCTCACACAATTTTTTTTAGCTGTCTTATTCAATGGATTGCAGAACTAAGCCAGTAATTTCATCCCGAAGCCCCTACAGATTGATGTCTACACATGGTGATTATGTGAGGATATAGCCAGGGATTATTGCATCAGTGTGCAGTTCACGCTAATGCTGGGGCATTACTTTGTTTTTAAAATTCAGTTTTTTGTATCAAATCATTCGTCGATTAATTAAACAGTAACATATTTTATTCATTTACATCACAAATGTTTATAGCAGTTTGATTACACGACCTTGCCTCCATCAGACTCTGAACTGGACGTAAAATTAGCGCTGGATTTTAAGGTGCAGGTCTTCCTTTGCGTTCTTTGCTGATGTTGTGCCCTCTTGTGGTTGCATTATGTAAATAGCTCTTCGTTTGTTCTTTGCTGTATACAGGGCTAAATAGTTTATACTAAGATAATTAAATATTCTCAATATATATGCAAATATAGCTACTTTAGATAATTTCTTTTACAAATAATTGAGCTTTAGTTTATTTATTCTTTACTTGGCTTGTGAATTTCCAATACTATCATTGATGCAGGACAGTATTTTTAAATGCCATTTTTATATTTTTTCTTACTTTGAGTTTAGCAAATGAGAATGATTTAAAATGCTAAACACGATGCTGCTTACTAATAAAGCCATAAATCATGCATTAAAAAAATAAAGAAAAAAGCATGATCAAACCGCATAACCGAATGCCAATCAAAAATCCAACCGAATGTTTTCAATGTAGGAATCATAGCCCTGGAGTTGAAGCTAGCTAGCTTGATGCTCATGCTAATGCCAAGGAACATCAAACTATAGACTACAGCATCTTTTAAGAAGGGCAGTTAGGACAGAAGCCTGAAGCTGCTGCTCTCAGTAGTGACTCTGACACCTAACAGACTCTTGTCTTCCCTGACAAGTAACAGAAGTAACTCAAACTAAAGGATGTATGGAAACAGGGAACAACAGACACCACGAATGAGCAGTCAGGGGAACTCTTCTCATAAATTGTGATTTGTGCAGGAGTGTCGGAGTATGTATGTAGTGCTGAGCAGTGTAGATTTCAGGGGTATTTTGGCGATGATCAGGTCAGAGGATGAATGATCGTCCCCGTAGACCTGGCATGAGTACGGTGGGTTAAATATAGGACTAGCTTGAGTTAAATATGTTTGTTGGTCAGTTCTGCCTTCTGTAGGAAAGTATTTTTTATTGTTGATTTTATGATCTGATTTTGATGGCTTCTGCATAGGGCTCCTTTACCATAAGTGCCAACGGAGCAGTTAGAATTTTTCAAGAACTGGCCTCCTGGTCTTGCGTACCAGGCAGTTATGGTATAGAACTGGACAGGTCATCCCTCGTTTGCCGCATGTTGGGATATGATGACAGAGGGGAGGTTGTGGTCAGCTGAGAGAGCCGCTTTTCCCCCTGACCCAGGGCACCGAGAACTTTGAGGTGAATGACATTCTAATTAATGTCTGCCTTTTGATGATCAAGAAGTGATGATCTGGACTGTTTAAATGGTTATTTCTAAATGCATGTATTTGCAGCTGTCGTGGTGGATTCTGGAGGGTGCGGCATCACGGCATGATCTGATTTCTGTGAACTTTCAGCTTTTTCGTTTGTATTTCGTTTCTTAGCTTTCCTTTTATTCTTGAGCTCTGTAATAGGTTTGAGTAGATAGCTGCACGTTCTCTCCTAGTGCACGACAGGGTATGTGGAACCAAATTAAACTACCTCTCCACTCACTACATATTTTTTTTACAGGATTTTTTCTCATTGTAGTCTTATTTGTATTTATTACTATCCAGTTTTTGGACAATTACCTCAGTACATCTCATCAGCTAGTTAGTCCCATAGCGTCCACTTTGCCTGTTTGACCGCTGGCAAAGGCTCGTTTCGTACAGTTTTCTTCGCCTCACCTATATCCGCAGAACAAGGCGATCCTCACCGGTTCCCTGTTCCTTCTTGCTGACAGTGTTGGTTATCACCACAGCTCACGTTATGCTACGCGTTTGGTTATACGTGTGATTACAGATCTGCACATGTAAAGAAAAAAAAAAAAAGAAAAAAAAATAGTTGATCCTCCTTGCTACATGTATTAAAAATAAAGATTTTCTTTCTGACAGAGTCAAACGCTTTCAGTCTGAGTATAAGCTACATTCAAAAGGTGTCTTTTAATTGTTATGTGTGACTTATCGGAGCAGTCTGCTGGTTTTTGTGGCCTCATTGTCTCACTCTTGTAACGGTCATATGGTTGAAACTGTACTGTGTAAGGGCTTGAGGAGCGAGATGGCGTATATGAGCCTGGACAACCCTGCCCTCAACAACTTGCATGACGGAGTATCTGGTGAAAGCAAAGATGAGAATGAAATATGCTGCTACTACTGCTGCTGTCCGATGAGCGCCCGTGTCGCGGTGCCCATCGTCGTCTCGTGTGGGCATCGTTATTATGGCAGCACACGGTCTGTCTTCTTTCCGAATGTTGACGAGGTGTGGTGGGGGTGTACGTGTCCCACCACCCAGCGGGCCGGGCCTTCTGCACACCAAACAGAATCTGCTCGTTTTCCAAACTGTCGTTCTGCCGTTCGCTCCAGTGTGACTTTTTCTCGTACACTGTGACCCTTATACCGTTACTCCATTAGTAGTGCGAGACAGGCCCAGATTGCTGCTGAGGAACATTTTAGGACAGATCAGGAATGATACGAGAGACAGGTAATTAGTTTTATAGGCAAAAAATGTATTAAACTATAGCTGCTCACAAAAGCTGTTTCGGAGCTGCATGAAGTCGATGTATTATGTGCAGTGAAAGAAATGTACATAACCTGAACTTAAATATCTAGTAGATGCATGTCCACAATAGATATGTAAAATAACCTGGATGTTGTCTTTGCTCAATAATCCATAAATAGGACTTAAAAATTCTTTAGTAAGTATACATGGATACATCTCTGTGCCTATAACTGTATGCCTTATAACCAAGAGAATCTAGCCAGCTGGTTACCCATAGCAACATAAGTAATTCATTCACAGGCTTTTTACTATCGGCCTTTGAAGTCAGTGGGACAGGTTATTTGAGTCCCTCTTCAGTGTGTGTGCAGCAGACCATTGTAACACTTATATGTACAAATGTATATGTAACAAATGCGAGCAAGATTTGCGAAATCAAAGATGCAAATGCCTTAAGTCAAAGTGAATCTTTCACCGTCTGGGCTGGAGGTGCAGTGTACTGCTCTGCATGGGCACACAGTACCTCCTGATCTACATTTTGCCTCCTCAGCAAATAAAGTGTTTTTTTTTTTGTTTTTTTTCTTGTCCAGTGTGTGTGTCCCAGACGACGTTGTCCACGGCGTTGCGGGGTGAACAGTCCTTTTCATGAGGCTGAACGCCTCCCACGCGGAAGCATTTAGTGATAAATTACTCATATGAGCAAGTTCTGTGGACCCTGCAGTTTGTTTGTTTGGGCTTTAGTCGTATGGCGTTATGAAGCCGGCCTCCTTATTGCTCTTATTACATCTCATGTTCTGTTAGCAGTGCTGCAGTTTCCACTGTCCTTTGTGTTATTACAGTCTCTCTTTTTTAATGTTAGTTCATCATGTAATGTGTATATATATATATATATATATATATATATATATATATAAATCACGTATGTTTCGAAAATCAAATAAAGTACTGATTATGGTGCTGCAGATGTTGTTTGGCTGTTTTTGTTTATGTTTGTTTGTTTGTTTGTTTGTTTTTGTTTGTTGGGCTTCTCAGCATACAGAGATAACCGCTTTATATGTTGGTTTGTGACTCACAACAGAACATGCTGTCTTGTATCTTGGATCATGAGGATGAAGGACACAGCTGAGAAGGTTTTCAATTAATTCCAGCTGATTGTATTGTTATATGAAAAGTTTTGAATTCCGTCCCATTGTTCATCCCCTTATATAAAAAAGTTCCACCTGTCCCTGCTATTGTACATTTCCTTTCATCGGTATACGCATTTGATGGATGTGAAAAAAAACACATCAGTCATGTTAGGTTCATGCCAAAAATTCTGTTGATTTGGGTACAGGTCGCTCTGGAATAATAATGATGATGATGAAGTTCGGATGTTTTCTCTTTGTTGTGCAGATTTCCTTTTGCAGTCCAAAGATATCCAGTTAGGCTAGTGGTGTCTCTCAGTTCGTCATCTAATTGTGTGTGTGCCCCAAGATGGGCTGGCATCCTGTCTACGGTGTAGACCAGCCTTCTACCCTTTGCTACCTGGGATAGGCTCTAGGCCTCTTGGAGACAACGATAAACAGTTATGAGGTTTGATGGATTTTTATTGCTATTTGCTAAGCTACCACAGGAGGGCGATACATTTTTGCAAAGTTTTGATTGCGTTAAAAATGTTTTTGGAGTATCTTGTGATATTGTGTGTTGCTGTGTATGTCTCATGCTTACAGCATGTACCAGGAGTTCCTGAGTATTTGAATTTTTCCTGCTGTGTCCCAGTTTCTGAATCTGCAGGTTGTGTGAGATCACAAACATGTATGGTGCATGCATGACGTATTTTACGCAGAAGCTGAATGCTTGGACTGAATGCTTCCCCTGAACTCAATTCTGAATAGAAACGCCTTTGACAGCATATGTTGTCTTTTGGGCTGACCTTTGCCGACTACGTTCACTGGGCTGTGGCAGATGTCTGCCATTTCCCCTTGGCATATTTGACCAAGCCACCTGAAGTTGCCATTTCTGAGTAGCATTCAACGTGGGCTGTACAAATGCAGAGTAAAAATTTTGCTTTCTGCTGCCATCCAAAGCCTTGCTTAAAACTCACTGCGTATACTTCCTGCCATAGACTTTTCCCCTCCATTAATGCTTGTTTGCATTGTTAAAGTCAGTTGGCCCAAGTACTATATAATACTCGGCCCCATTTAAACCAAATTGGTATGAATGCTATTATAATTATATAATACCTCAAAGTCTGATGTCAGCAGTTTAATATTATTTTTCCTTCAGTTACCTATTTAATTAGACCTCGAAACCAATGTTTGCTCACTGGAATAGAAGAGAACATGTCTTTAATCTCCTCATATTTTACATATTAAAGTCTGACAAAATAACACCCGTGAATTAAGGTTGCTATTATTAGTTGTATGAGTAACATTCAAATGTGACGGGATAACAAACATTCCCTTTGGGGGAATGAAAAGGAAGCAGTAAAAGCCAGAGTGGTGATGGAACAGGAAGCTTCGTCATTGTCATCATTATTATTACTATTATTCTTGTTATTATTGCATTCACATTCATTTTAATAAATTATATTGAATTAACAAAAATTACTCAAAAGGACCTTCGCTTTTAATAAAACATATACACAATAAGGGTAAAAAAAAATAGCCAAGTTTTGAATTTACCTGCTTGAGTGCCAATGTTAGAAAAGCTACATTTATAAATAGCTACACATAATTATTCTTAAAAGCAACCTTCTGAGAAATCCAGTCAAAAACAATTCAATGCATAGTATTCTGCGAATGCTTCAAAATATGGCTCAAATATTTACAGAAATAAGGAAGGCATGAATGTTACTCTAGTTTTTTGACGTCTTCAGGAAAAATATTTCACAACACAGAAAAAGCCTCTCGCTGACATTATGTTATCTCGGTATGAACTTCTTAAAGATTTGAATTTCTTTCGTCAGGTCCGCAGGCATGAAGATGGAAAAAAAAAGATTTATCAGTGCATCCAGTCACTCAGAGACAGTTAATTGTCAGTGTTCATCCACAGGAGAGACACTTGTGTATGCAGATAAGAGGTCGTCTCTGCTGGCTTTCTGAGAGGCCGTTACCCTGCAAGGTTAAGATGGGGAGAGGGGGGACAGGGGCAAGAGAGGAGGCTGCCGTTAAACGGCCCAGTGTAGCTAACTGTCTAAAAGGGTGTGTCCCCGCAGTGTTCAAGTTACTTAAAAAATGCAGTGTGTTTAGATGACACTCTGGATTTTAGTAGCTAGTGTAGTGTGCGTGTCACCCCAACTCTAAGGTTTGGCTTAGGCGTGTCCGGTCCAGTAGCTAAACATTCTGGGCTCCCTGACAAAATATCACCTTGGGGCCCCCCACACCCGTTCCACTATCCCCTGAAAAGTGCTGGGCCCGCTGAATATGTCAGGGTATCCATGCCCCCCCGACACCCCTGGGTGTGTCCACTGTGCTTTTGAGTATGTTTTTCGACTCGTTGTCCATTCCAAGGGGTTATTGATTGATTTTAGTTCAAGCTCTAGTGCTTTTTTTTGGCTAATATGTCACTGGTGGAATTTCTCAGTACTTAATTTTTCAGTATTGTAGTTGTTCTAAGCTCATGTATAGACTTTCCATAGTCAGTCGCCAGCATGTGAACAAACAACCACCTTCACTGCAAACCGTAATTCATTTAATATCCAACATGTGTAAATCAGTAGTAAAATTACCTTCTAAGAAACACCAGCTTTTGTGTTGGTATGCAGGAGTAACACATTCTGTCATCCATCAAAATTCTTGCCCACAGACATACAGGAAGGGTGATAACCTACTCAGTGTTCTGTGGCTCAGTAGGCTAAGCCTTTGCCTGTGATTGGAGGATCAATCAAGCCTCAGCCCAGACAGAACAGTCACCATGTCTGGGGGCCCTTGACTAAGGCTGGTGACCCCCCCAGCTCCAGGGGCACTGCATGTTAGCTGACCCTGTGCTCTGACCCCAAAGTTTTGGAGAACAAGATGGGGTTGGTAAAAAGAAGCATTTCCAATGTACTTGTACTTTTACATGCAAATGGCAAATAAAGCATGTTTGTTTTTAACTACTGGCCAAGACCAGGGGTTGGGAAGCCCTAATATAAATGATAAGCTACGTGGATACAGGAGGATGGTTAAAGGAAGCATAGGGAAGTCCGGAGAATGGCCTAGGGCTCGAGGACCGTGATTTGAATAACCCTGGCCTTAGGGTTTGGCCCAAGTCGTCATTTTAGGAAGTTCTGGTGTGTTAGCGTGTTTCGGTTGGTGGTTGTGAAAAGGCCTCATCCCCATTTTATGCTTCTATGTACTGCAAGCGTATTTAATGTCTGCTGTCCCGAGTCTTTGACCATCCCCATGGCAGCTCCTGCCTGATGTCCTGCCACGTTTC